AAACTCCTTTCATACTCAGAAAAAGCCTTCCAGAAAACATCCACCCCTCTGCAAGCCTCGCATTTGTTACCTGATCCAGTTTTTGCGCCCCTTTTTCTTCCTCCCAGCTCTAACAAGCATCCTTGCCCTTTTACAAGTTAAGGTCATTCAGAGGATCTATACAAGCAAGCAGAACACAAGCTGGACTGGAGATCTTGAAAGGCTCATGCTTACCCTTACCTTTAATAGGGAGGCACCACCCACAGAGACAACACTTATCCCGGCATGCACCGTTCCCTCCTGATCCAAATGGTAAGTAGCCAAATCAAAAGGACCACAGCAAGTTGGAACCTGTTGTCTCCGCGGGTGGTACCCTGCATCTGTATTAGAGATGAAGGCAGCTGTAATCTCTTCTGTTTTATGCAAATGGAATGGCTCCTGGCTCACTGCCAGAAAAAAACCAACAACCCAAACCCACCACCCTTGTCAATATGAAGTTTGTGTAGATCAGGAAACCTAATTATGGGAATTTGCATAAAAAGCTAAACATCAAAACTCAGTTGGCACGTTTCTTCTCAGGATGTGGGAAGGCCACAAACACAAATCTTATCTCTTAACCTAGTCGTAATTTAAGCTTTGCTTTCTATTGTACCTCTGAATTACAACCTTGCAAGTTTAATACAAATAATTCAAGGTTTTCAAGAATTCCATCGCATCACAGTTCTGATTTTCCATGCACTTTTTAAACTGTTAACGAAAAGGGTGAGCACTCAAAACTACAGGAACAGTTAATTGCAGATTCAGCCTTGGCCTTACAGTGAACTGGAGATACAAGTCAGTCTGGCAAAAACACACATCGCTTCCTCGCTCCCTGGACAGCCCTGCAAACCCCTGCGCCAGCACAACCCATGGCTGAAGCACACTGTGGCACCACAGTAGCCAGAGCTGGCGTTGTCACCGACTGACTCAGAGCCCAGCTACGCTTGCTGACGCAGTCTTCCTCAGGCACCTGTTCTCCACGTAGGAACAAAGTCATTCCTGGAAACTGCAGGAAGGATCGTGTGCCTGTGCCTTGGCCTTGCCGACGGTCTGGCATCGGAGCACAAATCTGCAATTGCCAGCAGAGGGACCATGCTTTGTGCAGACACACGGGGACTCGTTCCTTGCTGCTAACATTGCTGTGGGGCAGTAGCTGCCAGCAAGGGGTGGAGAAGGGCGCAGGACCTGTCTCATGTCCCACTGCACCAGCCAGACACGCCCTGCCAGCTTGCTCACACGCTACACATGCGTTCATCACTGCAGTGCAGAATCTCTGCAGAAAGCAAGAACAGTCCAAAAAAAAGGCTCTATTCTAACCCTGCTGAATAGATTCTAGAAGTTACACGTTGCTTTTGATTTTAAAGTAGTTAAAAATGGAGCATAACTTGCAAAAATGTCCCGGAAGGATTTCTGCTGCCACTCAAGTTGCGCAACATGCTCGACTGGAGAGACTTACTACCACGCAAGCAGCTTGGCGTGAAATCCCACTGCAAGGCCTGTGGTTCCCTAACGCTGTCATGACGTCATGATTTAGGATTTTTAGAGAGATTGGCCCAGCACAGCTGGTGTCATGGTTGCCATTATACCATGAAACACTGAGTGGTTTTAAATGAAAAAGGTTTCCTCATTTGAAATTCTTAGATTTCTTCCATCCTATTCTGTGGACTCTTAAAAACAGACCAGTTCTGTAAGCAGAGTACAGCTGATATTTAAGCAGGGCAGGAAATACTGCTGCTTTAGCTGAAAATAAATCTGTCAACAAGGAGGCACAGGGAGAGCTCCACTTCAGACTTTTCAGGTTCTTATTAAAAAATATAAATTAAAGTCAACATTTTCGTTGTTCAATGTAGCAACGTTACTTGCTACATCTGTTTGCTATTCCATTATAAATAAAAAATACAGGGGCCTCCAATTCAACGTTAGTTCACTCAAAAAAAATCAAAAAGATCTTTTCATTTAATACTGCATTATAATTGGTCTAGATTGTACTGTACCACCAGAACAGGTCCACAAGAAATGAGCTATGTTACCCAAAGTCAAGCAGTTAGATTAAAAAGACCTATGGCAGTATACTACCCTCCCGTTTCTAAAGGGTGAAGGACAGCAAGGTTATGGAAGCACACCCCTATTGTAGGAACCTTGCTGACTGTCACAAAAAGATCCAGCTCTGTGCTCTTTGCAGAGACAGTTGGGAAACCAAAAAATCCCACAAACTAACTCCTATCTCCAGAGGCCATGGCAGTTGAGCAGAGTCCAGCGCCACACCAGCTTTAAAGGAAATCTTCCAAAGACTTAAACAACTACCACTGCACTCCTAACAACCATCCCGCAGCACATTTTACCTGGGACCACAGAATCCCAAAGACCTTCCAGCAGAGACCGATACCCATTTTCTTAACAAAGGCTTTATTAAGTTTCCTTCTGGAGAAGAAGAGCCTCCCGAGCACATAGGAAAACCACTACATTCCTGCAGTGTGCACCCAGTGCTGGTCTGGTGACGTGCAGTTCACACAGCAGTCACGTTTCATGAGTAGTTATGAGCAACGAGTGACTGCTGTTGGGAGAAAGAATCGCTGGTGAGTGCTCAGCTCCTCTGTAAACCTCTCTGCCTGCCCGCAGTGCTCGCCTACCAGGTGATAACTTCAGATTCAGTGTTTAAGAGATGTGTAGGTTTTGACAGCTTTACCATATGCATAATTGTATATTAAGACTCTTTGCCACAAAGGCAGAGCCAGCCTTCTCAACAGCCCATGTAGCATTAAGTTTTGTAGCTCCAAGAATGAGGCCAAAATAAAGGTGACACTGCAGACAGCCGAACATCTCTGAGTGAGTGACACAGGGACACCCTCTGTGGAGCCAGCAACACTGTTCCAGTCGCACAGAGAAAAGGGAAACACACACCCATACTGAGGGCAAGGAGATCACTTTGATGGATCTGAGCAGGCCTGTGCTCAAGGGGTTGCAGCAAACATCCCCAAAGCAGCGGAGCAGCAAGGGCGAGCTATTTGCTTGCAGCGCCCAGCAGCAGCAGCCTCCAGCAGCACGGTGCCAGGGGCAGCCAAGGCACACCAGCTCTCTAAGCCTCCTCCCAGGCAACACGTACACGCAGGGCATTCAGAACTTCAGCCCTCCCAAAGCACAGTGCAGACTTTGCTCCTGCTTCCCTCAACAGGCCTTGGAAATTACCTGCAGCCCATGTCTAGACATCGGGGTTTAATTCCTGTGCCCTGCAACCAGCAAAAGGTATATTCCACTATCTCAATCCAAATTTCCAGACCAAACCATATGACAGCATGAAGAGTTAGGAGGTTTCATGCCAGGAAGCTATTTAAAGTTGTGTCATTCCACCTGTGTGATCTTTTCACTCCTCCACCCCCAAGCTTTCCACTACTGGAGAACAACAGGTTTTGGTCTAGCAGACGGGTTTTGGGAGTGAGAAGCCAGAGCATGTGCCAGGGCCAAGCAGGCTGTGTCCTTACATAACTTGCTTCTTCATTCATAAACACACATCACCCTTCATGTCTCCAGCTGAGACCCTCACACCCACTCCCTGCTCTCACTGAAAAACATCAGGAAAGAGTCTGAGCAAAGAGAATAGTCTCACCATAGAAAAACCTCAGGCTGACAAGTCACCAAAGAGAGGAATTTGGCAAAGCACTTCCTCCCTCCAGAATCAGTCCCATCAAAACAAGGTGGGCAAACTCAGGTCACCTAATCTTGGCAACCTCAGATTTTCAGCAGCAAAGATGAAATATCAAGGCACCATGTGGAGCCCTGCATGTCCATGGCAGCGTCTCTTGTGGAAGTGAGGGAAGGAAGCCTTCTAACTTCATTTTGTCTCTTTCACTTGCCCTACCTTTCCTCTGTCCCGGCAACTAACGACTAGGGTTGTTGCTAGTAGATCTGTTAGTTAAATGTCCCAGGCAGATTGCTGTGACACTAGTGTCCTGTATAAACTCCAGTCTTAAGAGACTTGTCTTCTGAAAAACAGTTCTGTAACCACAAACATGAGGAAAAAAAAAAAAAACAACAGAAGAAACTGCCTTGAGGACATGGGTAAGGTTAAAGAAACTGCCTGACTGCTGCTTTTGCAAGAGAAGCACCTGGGTGAAAAAAAAATGGTGGCTCAATCTTAACCAAGGCAAACAAACGAAGAAAAGCTTGGGTGAACAAACCAGGGCCTTTGCTGCACCTCTCATCAAGGACATTTACCCTACAACTGTGAAATAGTGCAGACAGTTTCACTAAACAGCGAAAGCAGAAACCTTCTGCCATTTCTGGCTGGTTAAAAGGCAACGTTCACAGCCCCATGACAGCTTGGCTACTGCTACTCACTTTGACTGGAGTTAAGGAGCAAGTCAGTAAAAGAAAGACAAGAACAAGGTTAGATCATGCTGCTTGCCTGGTCTAATAGAAAATGCCTGCTAAAGACCATCCATACCAACAAGCTCAGATAATCATTAAATTACTGGAGAAAAGACAGTCAAACAACTAGAATTTTATGCTTCTCTTACACAAATTGGCACTTTATACAGCAGCCACTGGGGTGGCAGTCCGCTGACGGTAACGCTGCTGTGCCAGCAACAGGAAAAATGCCCTTACAGCAGTTTTCCAGAGGAAGGCATTTAACATGCACAGGGAGGGGTCAGAATTTAAGCATATGACCATAACAGACTAGCAACAGTGAAAAACACAAGACATTCAGTTAAAAAAAAAATCCCAAACAGTTAAAAGAAATTAAAAAAAAGTTCACTCAGCACTGACAAGGAAATATATTGCATTCAGAGCCTGCAGAGGGGAACACAGTAATTCTTCCACATCCAAGAACAGGCATACCTCACCCCTTGCGAGACCAGGACTAGGGTATTCTCAGCAGAAAACCAGCTGTTCAAGTAATAACAGCAGAGCAGGGTTTTACCTACGCTCCCCCAAAATGCCACACAAAACACAACAGGTGGCAACAGAACTTAAATGACACTTACTCATGTACTCTGTTGTCTCCATACAAGTCACTTAACCCAAAGCTGACATAGTGCCAATGCTCAGGAACATTCAGCGCTGGGTTTCCCAGGTTTCTGTACATGCTAACATAGTCCAGAGGGTCAGGTCCGCCCAACCTGCATTAAAAACAGAAAGATTCTTCGGTAAATTAGTTTATTCAAGACAAATGAGAAGTCTCCACAGGTACTACAAGAGACTGTAAAAAGATCTGCTTTAAAACATAGCTAGTGACAAAAATGAAATCAGTATGTTCAAGTTACCTCTAAAAAAGAAAATTTTTGAGGAGGAAGGTCGGGTTGAGTCCAAAAGGCTTCAAGCACAGGAAGGCAAAGCGCATGTGTGCAACATACCACAATGTTTTTAACGCTAAAGCATAAAAACCTCTGGAAAATCATATTAAAGCTTCGACAAAACACACAGAAAATTGGAAAACTGTACTAGTAAAACAGCAATAGCTGCATCTGCACTGCAAGTTCTTGATTCAGTCCAGAGGCACATACCTCAATTAAAAAACAACACTGATGCTATTCCTCAAAGCAGAATTTGAAATGAGTTTTGAGAAGAGCAATCCATATTCTGAACATAGACATGACAGTTAAAATAGAAGAGAAAAACACCAGTTCAGAAAAATTAGTACCAGAAATTGTAAAACACGAGTTCATTAATCAAAACGACTAAAAAGCATCATTGCAGCCTCTGCTTCAACATTAGAATGGGTTCCTTAAAAGAAGGTTACTTAAAAGTCAACGCAGCATAGCCAGACTACATTAAGCAGCAGTCACCAAAACCTGCAGCCACCCTTTCCGTTACAAGGCACAAGAAAGCGAGGCTGGTGTGCCAGCAGAGAGCACAGCACGTTTCTCCTGCTGCTCACCATCACGTCTGCCCGTGCAGAGGCAGGTCAACTCTCCACTGAAGGAAGGAACGTGCTAGACTGTTTTGCTCCCTGTTCACCCTGTCAATCATAAAACACACAGGTAGAAACAAGCAAGAAGAGACAAGGCATCAAACCACCTACCACAAGCATTGATGGGATAGCACAAGCAGCTGTTTTCTGCCTCTGATTCACTTTTTCTTCAAGTAAAATACTCTCAACTGCTCCAGACAAGAAAATCCAATGGCTCCAGACAAGAAAATCCAAACTAAGATGACCCCCTTCATTCAAACTGCACCAATTCCCCTCATCTCCATCATCTGTTCAGACCCTGACTCTATCATCTGCAGGTTGCAGGGCATGCCTGTGCTTCCTTTGCTAGCCCTGGGCATTTGTGTGTCATCACTACGCATGCGACAACCGCTGCACAAAAAACGTCTGAGCATCTCAGTTTGCTCCCTGATTAAAGTGTCACTGCCTTATATTATACACTGGCAGGCTTGGCAAGAAGTACTTTCTCAGCACCTAGCCTGCTTGTCAGCCTCTTGTAGCACCTTCCACTACCACTGCTCCACGCCTCCTGGAAGTGTTTGTGCTTCACACGTGGAGATCCGTACCTCGCCTTACCAAGGAAGCTCTGGGACGATCAAACAGCAAAGCTTAACGGCAAATATCCCACTTAAGACCAGCACCCTTCTCAGAGTCCCATCTAGCAGCACAGAGGAAATGCTGACAAGCATTTTAGTCCTCAGGCATGAACGTAACCAGGCTGCTGGTAGTGAAGTCAGTTACACCCACTGGCTTCAGAAAACATGCAATCAGTGCAGAAGAGGTTTAACCCTGAGCTTGCACAATTACCTACCCCTAGATCACTTTCACTGAGTATAGCAATTTCTTGAAGTTCATTTAGGAGAGATCGTTGAGAAGACAGGGCTTTTCAGGCCTGCGGTAGCTGGCACTGCAGAACAGAGGTGCTAACAAGTCATTTTACAATTCTGCACCGGCCTGGCCACAGAGCTGCAGCACCTGGGCATCTCCACAGGAGATTCTCTGCAGAAGTAGTCACCATGGCTGGAGAGATGGATCCAGTCCTTGCTGGTAGCTCATCAGTTTGGCAAGAGGCCAGCCAGCACTTGGTCAAGCTGACATGCAAAGCACCTGTAAGACGGTGCTTTCCAGGGTGAGCTCTGAGGAGAGTTAATGCACATGGGGACCCCTAGAGTTTATCACCTGCAGGGAAGATGGTGCCAGGAAGGGCCATGAGAACAAAGTTCCTCTTGCTTCCAGAAGGTGCCCACATACTCTACACAGATTTCTAGTGACAGCGATACACTATTTGAAATCCTCTGCCCACGTCCTGCTACACAACCTTATCAAGTCTGTACAAAGTAATCTATCAGCTTGTTGTATTAAAAGCCCTGTGGGCTCTCTCGACAAGTGTGCTGTGCTACCTCTCTCCTCCTGCTGCAAGTAAAAAAACCCCACAGAGCAGGGTTACCTAAGATGAGTGACTTTTCCTAGGACAGTTTCCCTCCTCTTAAGTCACACAAGGCCACCACGGTGGCTCCAGGCCAGCTCCAGCTTCCCAGCAGGTCAGTCAAGGATGCAGCCCAAGATATCAAGGTAGGACAGAGGGGGTGATCATCCCACGCCCCATAACGGCACAGAGGTCCATTGGTGAGGGCTATGTCAGAAGCATGTAGCTTTCTTATATGACAAGTGGCATCTTTGCAGCATAAAAGGCAAACTGGTGAGCAAGCACAAGGAATGTGTGTTGGACCCTGGGATGGAGCAGAGTTTGATCCTCAGTGGCAGCCTGGGAAAAGCCGTCCTCAAAGTCTTGCAAAAGTTTGAAACACTCAGAGAAAAAAAAAAACAGGCTCCCCTCTGACATGCCCCATCTCCACCTGTTCCCTCTCACCGGCACGAGGTCACACTGGAGGCTGAGATCTCTGCCAGAGATGCCTGTTCAGGTGGCTATGTTCAGAGCATGGTACCAGCAACCCAGCCAGTGCTCAGGCTCCCCACAGCAGTAACTCATGGATCCGTGGTGGAAGCAGTCAGGTGGAAGCTATTCCAGTTGGGAATTGTCACTTGCCCCTGAGGGGTGGCAGTGAACAGCAGCAGCCACACACAACTGTTACCTGACTGGGGAGACTCCAGAGCAAGGGAAGTCAACACACTGACCAGGCAACCACTGTGAGAGATCAGCAAGTGGTCAGAGCAGATGTGTAGGATGTGTAATGAAGGGAAACCACCTTCACCTACTAAACAACAAGCATCTCCCACATGCACAAAACCAGCTTCCAAACTGGGTTTAATAACACCTTATATGTCAAATGATTTGTGCTGGAACACTGCTGACACAGGCACTTTGACGCTAACAACGCGCAAGACAAACCCTTTTTCAAGACAGGGACTGCTCCGTGAGCACCCTTTTCCCCAGGGTTACTCAAACGCATTCGTCAGATCTGATGCAGACAGCGAGCAAGTCCTGCCTAGACTGCACCAGATGAGCCACGCACCTCTCCCTCGCTCCTGCCAGCAACCCCGCGCTTCTCTCCAACGGCCAAGCCCCTCCAGGGACCCACAGCACCGCACTACCCAGGAGACAGCTGAGGCAATGCGGCACCCGCCAGCTCAGGGGAGCCAAGCTCTGTCCTGCCCAGAGTAGACCTAGACAGAGTTAGCTACCGACCGGTTTACACACTGCACGACAATCCAGACAGACCGTCTTTAGCCCCTGAGAAATTTGGTAGGCTTGGAAGAGAGTCAGACAAAAAGCCTGCAGCAGTGACTAATTAAATTTTGAAAGACACGCATACAAGCCATATACCTACTCCAGAACTGCTGCAACTGCAGGAACACCCGGCACTAGCTTTAAACCAGTTACCTGGAGCACCGTGAGGAAGGTAACCATGGCAATAATGCCCAGCACAGATTTTTATCCAGTTTCGGAGGCAGGTTTCACTGCTTTGCTAACAAGCCGAGCGCCGCTAATGCCGGCTTCCATACATCCTCCCACCCACAGCCGCTGCAGCAGGGTTCGACCTTGTATCACAATCTACATATCAGTACACGCGTTCACACAAAGAGCTGGAAGCGTTGGAGGATTTTATTAGGAAGAGCCCAACTTCAAAGCCAGAGGTACAGTACAAATTTGTTACATTCTCTATTCATGGAACTCATTCAGGAGCAAGAAGGGCAGCCTCGGGGGAAACCCCGTATTTGCATCTGCACCAAAAGTCTTCTTTTGACTGATGTTCAGAGCGCTCTGAAGTTTCTGTGGAAGGAGAAACCCAAAGTGGGCAGAGAGGAAACAGCTCCACAATGGTAAAAATAAAAATTGAAAATTCCCAACCCATTCACCCTGACAAAGCCTTTAGTGGATTGTCTGTAGTCACTTCCCAGCAGCTGACAACAGGACTGATTTTCACATCTACCTTTTGACAACCCTTCAGAAGTAGTCTGTGATCCCCAAGCAGCTGCAGACCACAGGCCAGCACACTGGTTTTTGAGCACATGGCCTAAATTCAAGACAAGTGATGAAAAACCAACAACCCAGCCCAAATTCTGCCTATTTCAAAACCTATCACAAGGGAAAGTACAAATTTATTTTTTTCCACCAGCAATTCTATGCATCAAGACACTTGACTTAGAGATACTCAACCACATTTTAAAAATAAAAGCGGACACTGGATATCAATAGAAACTCCTTCTCAGGGCATGGCCTTAATAAATACAGCCAGGAACTCTTCCAAGAAGTTTCAATTGCAATCAAGAACTCTCTCCTAAGATATGCAAACAGCATTTAAAAAAAGACCAGTTCCATGAAATAATCCACGCGGCTAAACCCCTTCATTTAATAGGTATGCTGTTCTGCAGATTCTCCAGCGTTACGAAGGAAGGATCTGCTTTGCCGTGCAAGCCAAAGAACACTTCAGCTCCCTGAACAGAAAAATTGCTGTTAACCATAGAGAAACTGATACGTATAATTAAAAGCTGATTAGTGTTACAATATTTCTCCCAAGGCAGAGAACTTCGTTCAGCAACTTCCTCTTCTAATCTTAACCAACTAATAGCTGGCACCCCAGGCAGAGAAGGACAGACGAGCAGAGAGTGAGCAGAAGTCAGTCTACCAGACTTATCAAAACCAAGCTCCAGGTTTCACCTAACAAAGGGAAAGAAAGTACCTGTAGCATCCACGTAGGCTCCACCTCGCACAAGAATTTCCTGCACAGGA